ATGCACCTGGTGATTAGAGGAGGAGCTAGTGAGGCTACATTAACGTCTTCAAATTAGATAAAATGCCTGAAGTTATTACAAGGATCATAAAAAGTACATGATGTACCCAAACAAGAGGTAGTTTATAAAAATAGGCAACAATAAGCATATGTGTCAAAACTACCCAGTCCTCCAAATGTGAAGCAAATTAGGACAGGGGACACACACACACACACACACACACACACACACACACACACACCACATACAAACACATATAAATACACACCATACATACACATACTACACCCACACATATACACATATATGCCATACATACACATGTGAACATTTATTCATACATACACCACATACACACACACACCATATAAACACATACCACATACACATACACCACACATAGCTGTAGAACAATCTTTTCCTACACTATAAATATGTATTACTGTCATTTGCTAATAAAAAGCTGATTGGCTGATAGCTGGGCAGGAAGAGCTTGAGCTCAAGAGCCAGACTAGGAGAATTCTGGGAAGAGGAAGGGTGGAGTCTAAAGTTACCAGCCAGATGCAGAGAGAGCAGGAAATGAATGTGCAATGCTAATAAAGGTACTGCCACATGGCAGAGTGTAAATAAGGAATATGGGTTAACTTAAAATGTAAGAGCTAGTTAGTAATAAGCCTGAGGTATTGGCCAATCATTTACAATTTATATTAAGCCTCCAAGTCAATTATTTGGGAAGTGGCTGTCAGGTATTTGGGAACAGGCAGGTGGGAGAGAAAGGTTCAACTACACACACATATATATATACATCACAGACACATGTGAACATTTACTCATACACACACACACACACACACACACACACACACACACACACCACATAAAAGTAAACTTTTGGATGGGAAGGAGATATCTAAGCTGCTGATACAAACACAAGAGAATAATCAAAAATCAAAGTCCAACAAAAGGTAGAAAGTACAGCCCCATCTCTTTCCCCAGTGAATTCTCTTAAGCACTTTAAGAATTAATAGCACTACTATTTTCTCCAAGGCTGTCATCCTGAAACCAAAGGCAGGCAAAGAAAACTGTAGACACAAAAGTACCTAAGGAGACACACAGAAAATCCTCAGCAAATACACAAAGACTGTAATTATAGGAAGTACACACTCTGGTCAAGGTGGAGCAAAGCCAGAACTCAGCATAAGACAAATGGCAGTGGGTCTCTACTATGGCAAAGGGGGTCTGATGCAGAAGAGCAAGAAAGCCAGAGAAGCAGCACAAACATGACTGAAAGGCAACACAGGGATCGTTTGTCCCACTGTGAGCATTCTTATCTTCAGAGACACATCTAAAATATATACAGATGATATTAAGAGATGAGGACAGAGACACAGCAGGAACAAAATTACCCATGCAGCCAAATGATTGCATTGCTTTTCTACTTTTACAAATATGGAATTTTCCAAATAAAAGGTTTAAAAACATACTTGGATTTTTTTTCTCCATAGGCATTATGCCACACACCAGTAATCTCAGAACACGGGTGCAGAGGAAAGAGAACTGTGAGTTCAAGGCCAGCCTAAACAGGCTGTTGCCATTGTATTTATGCATGTGTATTGAATGAAGTTATGCCACGTGGAGTGATAAGGCTTCCTCCCAGAACCACAGGCTAACGAACCCCCCAGCAGCAGACATGGGGAACCTCTTGAGTTGTTTGTCGGTTAAGGGAGTCAGAGAGACTCACCTAATGATACGCTACTGTCACTGCCCTGGTTGCCGGAACCAGATTTAACCTGGAAGCCTTCCCCACAAGGACTAGGCTCGTAGTAGCCAAAGATGCTATGAAAACTGCCAAGGGAGAAAAGCAATAAGCAGCCTAGCCAACCATAAAGCCTATGAACTGTATTAATGCTCATCATAGCAAGGTATCCCCAAGGGGGCAATAGCGGAGTTCCTATCTTGGGGATAACTAAGTTGTCTAACTGAACTGAAGGCCCAATGAGATGAGAGGGAATTCATGCTTGGTACCATAAAGCCAGCCAATTACCTCCGGTTGGTGAGGTCATGGACCCTAGACAAGAACTTACTCCCACCCCTTTCTTAAGTCACTATAATCCCTAACTGCATTCTAAACACTTATCCTTAAACTCACAGATAAGCACAGCCCTCACCCCTCCCTCATCAAAGCCGCTTCCTTCTGCACCAGACAGAGGCTACAGAAATCTGCAGCTGGTCAGAATGCAGAGAACAGCTGCACATTGGGTGTTCAACCTCCATTGACACATCTTCAACACAACACACCTCAGGCTCAGGGAACAGGAGGAAGGGGCAGGAAGACCGTAAGCGCCAGAGGACCAGGGTGTCTGCTGGGAGACCATGTCCTCTATGTGTAACAGGGAAGCTGCAACCATGGAATACTAGCAATATGACCCCCCAAACGACCATAGCGGTTGGCACACCAACGCAGATGGGAAATCTCACAAGGCCTCACTTCTAGAAGAACTGCAGGATAGTAAATGATGGCTGAGAGAGGGAGAATTAGTCTTCTTCAGGGAGGAATCCCCTAACTGACTGTCTAATCCAATTGGTCAGCCTAATGTTCTCAGCAGGCTGCGTTTATACACACAGTGGGTGAGGTGGGGGGGTTGACAGGAGGAATTGGAGTGGGGAGGGGTAGTAATGATGTCAATATAGAACTCAGGTATGAAATTCTAAAGAGAAAATAATACCTTCATAATTAAGATTAGAATTTTTCAATGCATAGTACAAAATACAGGGATTACAATGCTAACAATTAAAACACATTAAAACCAAATGTGTATGACAAAAACAAAATCACAGATGATACTTGCAACTGGATTCAGCAGGGAACTGATGTGCTGAAGATACAAACAGTTCTTGCAAATCAATCAACAGGAAAGATGACTGATGTTTAAAATTGGATGCTCAGAATGGAGCGTAAAAGGCGGGCTAATGTTCAGTGTCACTTATAGGCAACAGGAAACTAAATGACAGTGAAGTATTAATGACACACCCATGGCACAGCGGTAAAGGCCGAGTGCTCACAAGGGCTTCAGAGTGTGGGCTGACTGGCACACACAAAATAGAAACTGTCTAGATCCCTGTGAAAGTGTAACCTGATATGCGCTCAAGAGCCATTTGGCAAGTATCACTGATAACTGTTAGCTTCTGGCTTGAACTCCTGAGGTAGCACACATGCCTGCCAAAGTAGTAAGCTGGGAGGAGCCTGTCTAGCCATCCCTTCATGAAAGGATATCAAAATGAATCAATCAGCTCACGCATCTACACTGATAAACTCCAAAAACGGTTGAAAACAGCTGTGATAAAGGACACAAGGACACTAACATAAACTGTGAAAGTGCACAAAAAGAAACCATGTATTCTTCATGAACATGCACATACAAGTAAAGTTATAAAAACACATAATGGCATGATATGCGGCCCTGCATCTGGCGAGAAAGAAAAGACGTAAGAGCTTGATCTACCCTCCAATGTAGCACCCGGGCAAACTAACTTTACAGTAAACTGTGAGGATCTCAGAAAAACGGGATATCATTATTGTATGACAGTTTTGAGATGATGGCTACAGATGACAGCGTAAGCACCCCAGCACAGCTGAAACCTGACTCAGCAGGGTCAGGAGCCAGTGGGCAGAGGTCATTTACACTCTGACATAAAATGCATGCCAAGAAAAGAGGGGCTGAAGGATAAACTAATCCTTGTTTAAAATCTCTCAATCTACTCATGCTGTTTTTGTCAATCTGACATAAGCCAGGGCCATGTGTGAAGAGGGACCCTCAATTGAGAAAACGCTGCCATCAGATTAGCCTGTGGGGCATCTTCTTGATTGCCCAGCTCACTGTGGGCAATGCCATCTACAGGTAGGTGGTTCTGAGCTGTATAAGCAGGCTGAGCAAGCCAGTAAGCAATGCTCCTCCACGGCCTCTGCTTCATTTCCAGCCTCCAGGTCCCTGCCCAGACTGCCCTCAGTGGTGGACTATACAGCTGAAACTTACCTCCCCAAGCTGCTTGTGGTCACGGCACTCATCACAGCGGTAGGAAGCAAACTAGGACACTATTATTAACACGAGTCAACTATCGGTAGCCCCCTCACTCGTAACTACCACAAATTGACCTCTAGTTCAAGGCTGATGGAAACCACCTGCCCTCCCCTGCCCCCTTTGAAAGTATTTGCCTCCTCTGATGAAGAACTTAGAGCAAACTCTCAACAACTGTACTCAGTGCATGTTGTGTTTGGCTGGATACCATTAAGAACTCCAAGGAGACTCACCTCTTCTGGCTCATCTACAACACCCCAAGTTTGTTTTCTCCAGTTGAGACCCAGAGCTCAGAACTTATCCCCAGAGAACCAGCCTGACAAACTTTAATTCAAACTGAGTAGGTCAGATGACCTCAAAACCCATCCTGTCACTGTGCTGTGCCACACCTCCCAAAGCCCAGGGGATCTCGTGGTTGTCCTGTTCACACTGGTCTGCCCTCACCAGACATCCCAGTAAGTTCTTCAAAGAACTATTCAAATATGCTAAAGAAAATGGGGAGAACCTCTGAGCCCCAGGACTCGTGACTGCTCTTCTGGGAGTGACCCAGCCTGACATAAAGAACAAACAGTGGTTCAAAATCAAGAGTAAAAATAAAGTATAAAGTGATTAAATCACACCAGGCCCTTTGCTGAATTTTACACTAAGCTTCACATCTATTCACCACAGTGGCACACTCCAGTGGGATTTGGCCCATTCTATAGGTACACAAGCTAAACTCTTAGGTGAAGCTAGGATCCGCACTTTGGCAGCGTGATTCCCAAACAGGCCTGGTTAATCACTATGACAATGTTTTATAAACCTGAGACTTACAACTTGCTTCTATATACACTCATGCACTTATACACTCTGCAAAACGTTTGGAATCATATTTCCTTAAGAGCCACAATTTCTAACAGGGAAACAACAAATATAATGATGAACTGACTCAAAAGCACAGTATTTATTATAAATAGAAAAAAACGTAAATGGTATTCATAGGGTAACAGTAATAACTGTGAATATAAAAATGTCAGAGAACACATCATATAGATTGTTTGGAACCACACAGTGCTCATACCCATACAGAATATGCATTTTTAAAGTTGTGTTGACATGAAGCTAAAACAATTGTACTTCTATTTTCAATTTTAAACAGACTTTTCTTTTCTCGTGAACTAGAGTAATTTAGAGACAATGGCTACCTTGCTTCTTTTTCTTCTGGAAGAGCATCAAAGCGATTTACCTAAGTGTTCTTTTGTAAATGTCTGACATCATACAATTTTCCAGCAATGTTTAGAAAGCTGGATAACTCTTTAAACAATAGACAATGCATTTTTTTCTTCCATCTCTTTAGCAATGAAAAAGTAAAGCTCCAAACCATAATAAAACATCAAAACCCTGCACAACATCCTAACGCTACAAGATATTTATGCCTAGCAGAATCAAGCTTCCACCAATCCCCCTTTCCCGTTCTTTTATCCTGGATTTCGGGAGTTCCTCAGACTGCACCTCAAGAGTTCAAGAGGAAGTGGTTGGACCACTAGCTGCAGGTCTGGCCCTGTTCTCCTCATCCGCCAAGGCCTCGCAGTATTGTGTAGGCCAGTCTTTGGGGTCCTGATTATGGACTTTGGCCACAAACTTAAGAACTTTCATCTTGCTGGTTTCCAGGTTGGTTCGCGGGCCCCACTGTAACTCATAGTCCACGGGATCGGTGTGGGGTATCCTCCGGTACTCCAGGTAGCGCTGCCGCACAAAGTCTTCAGTAATGAGTTTCTTTGGGTCACCGAAAATTAAATGCTTCTTAGTGGGGTACACCCCGAGCCGTCGCAGGAAGTCCCAGACCTCAGTCTCGGTGATGGTGTTGCCTTTCATGAAGATGAGCCCCAGGACTATCATGAGCAGGCCGGTGGTGGGTGTGCCCTGATCGCCTCTCACTTCCGCGTCCTCCTCCACGGGCTCCAGCATGTTGATAAGGATGTAGGTGTGGCTCTTGGGCTCCAGCTCCACCAGCTTGTACCCGAACACGTACTGCAGGCGCTCGGCGGCCAGCCTCAGCAGGTTGGGGTACACGTCCCGGTAGTCGCCCACCACGTGCTTCAGGATGTCGGTGCGCTTGATGGGAATCTTCTTCTGGTCCTTGATCAGCAAGAACTGCACCAGCTCGGCCACCTTCAGCTCCAGTTGCTTCTGGGTGCGCGGCCCCACGGCGGGGGCCGACAGGGAGGCGCGGGAGCCCTGGGACGCGCTGCCCGTGCCGCCCGTGCCGCGGGACGTGCTGGGCGCCTCCTCGCCGGCGCCTCCCCACTCCCGCTCCCTATCGACCTGGGTGCTGGGCCGGCCGCGGCCCCTCGGCTTCTGCAGCATGTCACCGGGCCTCGGAGAGCGGGCCGTGTCCAACTCGCAGTAACGGCCAAAAGCCTTGTACCCAGCCGCCCCGCGAAAATCCGCAAGGAAGAACGGCGCGCGTGTGACGTCACGTCGCCTGCGCGCTGCGTCCCGGAGGCGGGGCGATACAGCCGCGAGTCAGCCAGCCCGACGGGGCGGGGCATCCGCGCGGCCACTGCGCATGCGGGAGGCCTTGTCGGTGGCTTCCTCTGCTGGGCTCCAGACCCGGTTTTAGAGAGTATCCGATGGTGTTTATGAAATCATATAAACAGAAAACAAGAACCAAACCAAGTGTACGGCTGGCTTCCAGGGCACACCGGTGTAGGCACGTTTTACAGTTTTTGCTGAGTATTTAAACTAGAAAATTTGTGTATGGTACACAAAGGATAAATGTGTGGAGGTGGGGTGGGGATAATCAAGTGTAGCGGAAAAGAAGACCTGGGAAGAAAAGTAAAAGCGTTTATTTATGTATCCAATGAGGAATGAAAGGCCTAGAGAACCCCGTTTGTGTACTTTTCCTGGGCAGAGTTCATACCCTCTGGCCACTTAATTTCTGTGCAATCCCTTGGGAGTCTGTAAGGGAAATTATTCTCAAAAGTAAGATTTGTCTTGTTATTTCCAGACCCAGTTCTCTTCATTAAACTTCAGCTAGACGACTATGAGAAACCACATAAGCATTGCCAATAACGTGTTTTAGCTTGGTAATGTGCACTGACCTTTTAGAAGTTACCTTTGAGAAAACTGCCTTGGACCCACACTCACAACTTGAGCAGAAACGTGATGTTAGAGGAATGCCACCCCCAGAGACACTTGCTCTCTCCAGAGAATACCATTTAATTTAGGTTACCAATGATTGGGAGTAGCAATAATGTGGATCTCTTAATTTTCTTTAATATATAAGCTTTAAAGTCTCAATAAGAAAGAGCTATCATCCCCTACAATTTGTAATGTGTACGGTTTGTAGATGGTTTAAATTGTGCAACTCTAATAGACAAAATGAGTCATTTCATTAGCTCAAACCATCAGCAGTCTGTTGCCATTGCTGCTACAGATCTCAGTAATGTGTTTCTTCTCCATTTACTGACAAAGAAACTGAGTTTCCCTCTGTCTTTTTAAAGCTACAAAGAAAATAGGTAAACTGTTCAAAGAACGAACTCAAATTGATTTCCTCTTTAATGCAAATATATTCAGAGGAAAGCAATTCAGATCATATTATTTGAATAATAACATCAAAATATGGCCTTATTAAAATTTCATTAAATGTAAGCAGCATAAAATTTTTGTTTATAATTCAGTATGAAAATGCAGTCTGATAATGGGACCTGCAATGCTAATATAAAATCTCATTCCATGTTGTGATGCAAGCATTCTGAAATCTAGTGCGCTATGAGCAGTAACTTTCTGTTCCACACAGGGTCCAACCATCCTCAAGCATTGGTCTGAGTCACAAAGGCTGCTAGAGTTTGAATGTGTCTTCCAAAGCTTACATGTTGAAATCATAAGCCCCAATGTAGCAGCACTGTTATTTTATGAGTGAATGAATGCCATGTTCTCTGTAATGGGTTAAGAGTGAATCTATTTTACCATTATAATCTCTCTCACCATCTCATGATATAGTGACCCTCAACAGATGTGGTACCTACTGCTGTGGGATGTTCTGTATGTTAAATGTGTTGCTCTGATTGGTTAATAAATAAAGTGGCCAGGCAGGAAGTATAGGCAGGACAAAGAGAGAGGAGAATTCTGGGAACAGAAAGGCTGAGTCAGGAGATGCTGCCAGCCACCACAATGAGGAACAGGATGTAAAGTACCAGTAAGCTATGAGCCACATGGCAAGGTATAGATTAATAAAAATGGGTTAATTTAGGATAAAAGAACTAGATAACGAGAAGCCTGCCACAGCCATACAATTTGTAAGCAATGTAAGTCTCTGTGTTTACTTGCTTGGGTCTGAGCGGCTGTGGGACTGGCGGGTGACAGAGATTTGTCCTGACTGTGGGCCAGGCACAACTAAAAAATACTCCAGTTACAGCCTGCCTTTAGACCTTCCAACCTCCAGAGGCATGAGTGAAATACAATTCTGCTGTTTCCAAATTATTCACTCTATGGTATTATTTTATAGCTACACAAAATGGACTAAGATCAACTAAATAAAGCATAGCATCATGGCATTCTCCTTTGTTACAGTGAGCCATTCATCTGCTTCAGTTCTCACGAAAATTGAAATCTGTATTTAAGTTCATAGAAGCCTCCTGCGATCTAAAATTCTGCAAAAGGTCCTTCCAGAAGGATCAGTTATGCCTTGAGCCAAATAATTTCAGCAGCCAAGAGATAAGAGAGAAATGGGAAATAAGATGAGCGCTGTTGTCAGCCATCAGGCTGGTTTTCAGTATTTTCTGTGTTAATTTCTTCACAGAGTGCCAAGGAGCTCCAGCAGCCAGGCTAGCACCCAGGACGAGAAACCACAGCATCTTTGAACAGCACCCCCGCACAGACAGCCGATGAGCATGACTCAAAACACATGAAGAAAGATACCAGTTTTAAGTCTTAAAACACCTATCTCCATGCTATCCAGAATGGAAGTGAGAAAATACAGCCATAAAACAATGTTACTAGAATGAGGATTAGAACTTGCAGTGAGGAAGTTAAGCAAACCCCACGTTCCACTTCAAATAGACAAAGGAAGCCGTGGAGGCTTGGGGAGAAACTGTGGCAGTAATAATACTGATAATGACAAATGGCAGCAGCTAATGCTTTTTACAAAGGCAACTGTAAATCCTGCTTCTTGGGCCCCACCACACCCCTATGAGGCCTGTTAATTCCTTTCACTCACAGAGAAACAGATGTGTGGGGTACAGACATGGTGATCTTGAAGAAGTACAGCTTTGATTGACATCAGGAAATCTGGACGACAAACCTGAAAAAGCTACTGACACTCCAAATTTCAACTTCCAGACCAACAATATGATACCATTAACCCTGAACTCAAGAAATTAACTGAAATTTGTTTGCTAAGTACCTAGCACAGGATCTGGCAGCGTGTTTTAATTACCCTTAGTTTCTTTTCAGAGGGGTTGTGTTAATGACAACTTTGAGGATGATATAAAGTTGTGTGTGTCTCTTAGGGTCCTGGCTGGGCTGCAGAATTAAATTCGTGGGAGAGTTTTTAAATTTAATTTGATTTTTGCAATCCTGGGGGTCAAATCTGGGGCCTCACATACATTAGGCAAATGTCCTACCACTGAGCTATACCCACAGACCCTGGGACCAATTAACTAGATGAAAGCAAGCACCTTTAGTCCAGTGTTATGGGACATTGTTGCTTTTATAATGACACAAAGTTTCAAAGGAGTGGCTTCTGTATTTGAATGAAGAGAAATAATTGTGGAAAGGTAACTAAATTATGTAGGAAGTATAAAGAAGGGAAGTGATCAAAGGTTGCCCAGAGATCTCTTGGCCATGACCCAGTAATGTCTCTTTTGTCTCTGTGGTCAGGCACCTTGGGCTTGCAAGTTTTTATCTCTTGTTTTCGGAAAGCGAGGAGCTGAGGCTGCCCTTCTCGCATCTGCTGTTTTTCAAGTGCTTTAGCTCAAAGTAACCCTCATGCCAAAGTGGCATATTCTGGGTGCCATATTCTGCTATCCTGCACTAGAAAGATGTTCAGCTCAGCAGAGCCAGAGCGTGTACACACATAAAAAGCAGCAAAAGGTTGGAAAGAAATATATAGACATCACTGTGCTAGTAAGGCTATACACTTGGAGAAATAAAAAGGGTGATTTGTGTTTGTTTGTTTGTTTAGAAGATAAGTGAAAATGATCTCCTCGGGGAAGCCCCGCGCTGCAGAGAAACAATGCTCTGCCCACTACGTGGTTCAAACTTCTAGTAAATTCAATGTGATTAGCATATGGCAAGTGCAGCATTCTGTGGAAGCCCCAAAGTCACAGAGATAAATGATTAAAGCAGAAAAGAAAATTTCAAATGCCTTGTCTTAATGACCTTCTTGCATTTATCATCAGACCCCAAACAAAGGGGAAAAATAAAAATTCTTGGAGGCAAACCCCACACTAGCTAAGATTTCAAAGGCACTGAGAAAGGCTACACAGTGCGCTTAAAACATCTCTAAGTAATTAAATGCTTTCTTCCATCTCCTTGGCAGCAAATGCCTGCCAACGAGCTCTAATCATCTTCATTATCTACTAGAGGCCCCTCTCCATTCACTGACATTTCTCGTAGAACCAGAAGAAGATTTTAAATCCTCTAATGGCAACACGGCACTAAAAGCAGGTGAGGACCTTTGGGGAAGAGAGGGAATGATCAAAGCATGCAGCAAGCATGCATGAGCAGCTTCCCTGCCTTTTTCTGGGGGAAGAAAATGGGACAGTGTGCAGCGGGCGTGTGAAGGAACTGAGGCCCAAATACTGCTTTTGGTGCTAGGTAACAACAATGGCAATCAAGACACTTTAAAGGCCTCGGTAAAGTTCTTTACATCCACTCACTGTTTACTCATAAAAACTGTGTCTACCCATCCCTAACAAAGGTCCTCCAGACTGGACCACACGGCAGACTGCATGGAACATTTTGTTCCTCGTAAAAGTTGATCAAGCCTGGCAGAGCTCTCCTTGGCTGGGAGAAGGAGTGGGCCGATGAGACAGTGCCTTCCCAGTACTGCAGCCACTTGGCACAGAGCCTCTGATTGAATGCTCTTTTCAAGAAACAGAAACAACACAGTTACCAAGGGCCCTGATGAAAAGCACTAAGGGGTATTGAGTTATGATCATATAAGGTCTTAAATAGGAGTAAGACTTGATTTGCTTGCTTGGCTTCTATTTCCCACTGCAATTTGTTTCCCTTTGGAAATTGCCTCTTCCACCTCTAAGAGACCTTGATACTACTCTTTCTTCCATTGCTGGTGCACGTGATTTGGGCCAAGCACAGTGATTATGGCATCCAACCAGCATCCTTCAAGGGGCGCTCACATCCAGGTCCTCTTTCCTGAACTAGTAAGCTGAAGGGTAATATACACCTATCCCGTTATAGCTGTGGTTTGTCAAAAGACCTCCCTCATGGCGATGCCAACTCAAAAGATACCAAAGAGATGGAG